CTATTTAATAAGTATTGCTTGAATAGACGTTGTTTTTTTATTTACTGAGTAAGGATGTTTTTGCATATTGAACTTCTTGTTCGCCTTAAACCATACGATCATTAATTGGTGAATTCAGAATACACTACGTTTACTGAAAAAATGATCTCATCTATATTTGATGCTGATACTTGTCTATCATGAACTTGAACAATATTTGTTCGTACATATTCAATTATTTCTTGTAAATTAGTTACTCTATTTCTTAATTGAATCATTTTTCGGACTATTACATGTATACATATGTTTCTTGTCTTCTAAAGTGGAATGGTTCCCGGTGTACTAACACAGTTTAGTATATACAGATGTCTTTTTTTTTGTTATATCGTCTATTGTTAAACGCTATTAGACGGCTCCTAGAATGTTCCAGACAGTTTCATCAATGTAGAAAAAATTGTTTTCTATGCGATGATATGATTCCGCTGCTCCCATTATATGATATATTCAATTATGCCACGGATGGCGTAGTGGTTCTATGCATCTGATTTAGTCAGATAGCAGAAGGTTCGGTTCCTCCCCCTAGCACGGTGTTTTGGTTTCAAAGATATTCGACAATGGAAGAATAGTCAAGAAAGAAAAAACAATTCAATACACGTGGATTCGTCATCACTGCCTCTCGAGTTTGTTTGTTTTCTGTTCTTTGTATTCTGTTCTCTATATGTTATCGTTATCTTTCTCTCTCGTAAGCGTCTGAAAAAAATGTACTAAAAATCATAAAAAATTTAGGATGTCACGAATGAATAGAGCGAAATTAAAAAAAGAATATATATATATATATTCAATTGAATCTAATACAAGAGAATACAACGGATTCCTTATCGATCTATATGCAAGCTCGTTGAGTCTGTTTTTCCTTAAATTCTCATAGATCTTTATGTGAAAACAACGATCTATTTCTATCACACTCAGCTTCTGAAGTTATTCGCACTGGAAAAATATCGATCTGTGTGACACTTAAAAGAGTTCTAATATATTTCCGGTAAATAATTAACCAGTTGACGATCAATGTAAACAACTAGATATAAATCAATAGTTGTAACTCTTATATCGTGGAATATCGGAAATTAAAAAAAGAATTTCTTTGACTGGCCTAGTCGACAAAAGGACGAAATGTATTCATGAAAAGAACAGTGAGGATACGAACTAAAACGATACAACGTCAATACTATTCGTGAATCAATGTTCTCTACTTGTCAAAAACTATATACACTTTTTTTGTAGTTATATTTTATGTGTCATTAGCATCCTTACGAATATTGTTGGAGAAGAGTTGTTTAAGGAATATCAAAATTTTTTTCGATGCATGTTAACATGTTGTCCTCTATCGTACTAAATATCCTTAGCTGTTGAAAAGACCAGATAAAATTTCGTAGTAAATTTGTTATTTGTCATCAACATGTTACATATCATGGACTACTTGCAATCGTCGATAAATAATATTGATGAATACAAACACATAAAGTGATCCATTGTTTTAATGCACATAAACATTTACATTATAATAACCATGCCGCGAATTAGAACGTAGTAAATAACCAATCGCAGAATTGACGAGTGCCTGTTTTCAATTAGTTTGCTTTTATCATTAAGGATCTCATACTGTTCGTGCTTCATGCTGATCATCTCAGTATCACTTTCGACGGCATGTGTACATTGCTCTCTAATCTTTAATAAACTTTCGGGATTTTTGAAGCACTGAATGTTACAGTTTCAAATATGGAATGTCTTTCATTAGACATAGAATTTAGTCGCAGTACATGATTAATGTGATCGCATACGATAAAAAATACTAATGAAATGTTTTGTTTGCCTAACAGATATTATCATGTTGATGTTCTATTCTACTAAGATTTAGTATATCAATAAACACAACATATGGAAAACATATATGTATATATATCAGACAGTATCCAGGCCATTCTCTATAAAACTACAGTACATGAGGCGGAAAATAATAGAACCAATAATAAATTTTAGCATAATTGATCAACATGATCAATCTATTTGTTAATATACCAGAAGGCAATAGCATTAAATTCGAAGATTTATATTTTATAATAATTGTAAAGCTATAACTGATGAGTCTCAATTGTGATGGAAACTGAACCGAGAGGAACATATATCTTGGATGAAATATGAATGCATAAAACGAAATCATAGCTCAGCTAGAATACTAATAATATAATTATATTAAATTTAAAAAAAAACTTATATTTTGTTCAAGCAAATTACCGGTCTTTTACATAGTCATCTAAATGGAGCATGATGTGAATTGTCATATTTTGACATTGACAAATATAGGAAAAGTCAAATTATAGTGCACAAAAAGTTGTAATTATGTGTCTACTATCTCCCTAACACTTTGGCTTGTGGTCAATATGTCAAGGCCTTATAAGATATATATATATATATACGTGGTATAGGACTCTCGTTCTTTCGTTAAATAAGGTGTTGAAAAGTCAAGAGTCAAATTGTTACTGTACCGATTGGATTCATAGATGTTTCGATGACTGAAGCTATCGGCAACATTCTCACATGAAGCGTATCATAGGAGAAAATAGTCTATTCTTGAATGTCTTTACACTCATGGCTCTCATAAATCAAAGGCACATAATGATCTAATAATTATCATGTCCAGATAAAATGAGTAACTTAATAACTAAGAAGAGGTTGCAATGTCAAAATGAGTGCTGACAAGAATCAAGAGCTCTAATATAATTTAATGAAAAAAAAAATTCTACAATATTTATTTTCGCAGATCTTCATATCAGCGATCGGCATTGAGCGGATTTCATTACATCGATAAGAAATAAGGTCTTTTTTGTTTTAGTTGAAACCCAAACTTATGCTCGTACAGGCATTTGGCACGAAGAGATCTTACTATTTTTATTATTATACGACCGACACTATTTATCACAGTTTTAACGAAGAAGCCATAGACAAAGAGCTATTCTGTTAGCTCTAATATTCCTATGCACTACTATTATTCAAATCCTCAAAAGGCTTCATCAACTGAATGAAACTGTAGATTTTACTCGATTAGAGATAAGTTGAAATTAAATCTTATTCGCTACCTCAAGATTTCTTTTGAATGAAAGATTTATAAATGCGAGTATTTGTATTTTCTATACTTTCATAACATGAAAGAATATTAAAAAATAAGATGATACCTGTTTTTCGAGAATTATTTTGTACACACACGAACATATTAAATGAATCTTGACTAAACTCGGCAACATTGCAGTAATTTGTTTTTTGATTGTTGCTATACAAAGTAGATACTAGTGCCGCTCGGGAACAAATTTTTTCTGTTCGCCATTTTCTACGGAAGTCGACGACGCAAAATATCGTGCAGACTTCGGAAACGAGAACGATATTAAAAGTAAACGTTTCCGAAAATCACTTTTTATTCTGTTTTCTTAATACATTACATTACTTTTATGTAGCACCTTATGGTCAAAAGCAAAATAGCTCTTTCTCTGTATACAATAGGTTCTATCAAGGTGCTTTTTGAAAAAATGTCGGGAGTCATTTTGGAACTGAAAAACAAAACACTTTAATTTAAGATTCATCGTTTTTTTAAAGAGTAAAGCTCACGAAACGTAATTACGCTTACTTTGGAATATTTTTAGTAGCTGACAATCCATCATTAGAGATTTTCAATTACTATCAGCTCGTCTATTTGTAATTGATCGATCCAATCTCAAATAAAAAAAACATTTTTCGTGTGCAACCGATTTTTTTTTCTAAATGGAATCCTCGCATGTGCATTCGTATATTTTAATCATGATACCAAGATGGTGCCATTGGTCACAATTGCAAAATAAATATGTGAGTGTTGTAATGGAAGAATGTTATTGAAACACATAAGTGAATAATATCGTGTCTTAAGTAAATAATTGCCAAGTTTCGTTCTATTCAACAACAAAATAAGTGAAGTCAACTCAATCAAAAATGGTTCCACGATAGACTCCAACATTCCCACACGGATTCCTACGTCATTTATTAGTAAAATAATAAATAATTTCATTCATGATTTATATTATCATTGTCTTTTTGTATACTCAAAAAAGTGGGTACACTAGATTCGGTCAGTGTGTCCGTCCGGCCCTTAACACGATAACCTTTGAAAGTCTCATCCAATTGTCATGAAATTTGGTACACATAGTGATCTCATTAATATCTCAGTCGAGTTCGAAGATGAGAAGGATCCGTCAAGAAATGGCTGAGTTATCAAAAAAATTCTCAGTATTGACCAGACCATCCCTGAGGCGGGGGGGGGGGGGGGGGACGGGGTTNCCCCCCCCCCCCCCCCCCCCCCCCCCCCCCCCCCCCCCCCCCCCCCCCCCCCCCCCCCCCCCCCTACAGGGATTTTTAAAAAAAGAAACATTTTTTTCTTAGAATTATTCACAACATATATAAATCGACTAAGTTTTTGCAGTACACATAACAATCGGATTCGAATCCGATGTTTCCACATTTATTTATGATCATTTTCGGTAATAGTATTACCTAATTCTCTTGGATATATTAATGTTGATATACTAGTAAACTTTGCTGGTTTAAAAACCGATTTATTTGACTGCAATGAATCTTCAATAAACAGTTGTAAGTTTGACCTAAGAACATTTCATATTGAAAAAGTGCAAAGCCAACAAAAACAAGTGAGTGGTTAGTAGAGAGATTTTTTTCTCACATACGAAAAATGAAATTTCTGCAGTCTTCCCAAATTTTTAATTGATGGAAATTGTCATTCCCACGTACCAGTAGAAAGCCGGTAAATATATAAGCGTTATATCATATTTAAATGTTTGCGTAGGTGATAAATAGAATTTTTATGTTAAAAAAAACAAGAACTAATGTAACTTTATTCGCTAGAAAAACTATTGGACAACTTCAGGCAAATATTAGATCAACATTATAAAAGAAATGTAATTCATCATGTGAAATGCTAAGCAGTATCATGCAACATATTTCGTATGTTTTCCTGTTGCTAATAATTCATTATTTTTCTTATTTCGAAATTCCACCGATAGAAAAGCCAATGTTCGTCCTAATTTGACTGTGTCAGCATCGATTACTAAAGTTTCACCTTTTTTCGCCGCTTTGAGAAAACTATAGATCAACAGTTTTTTTTATTATTTACGATGAAAAAATATCCTTTCTACTTACGAAACACTTAGTTCAACAGATGCTGATTTTGATGGTTTGTTTTCATTAGTCTCAAGTGCCAATGTTGATACACTATCTGTTAATGCTGTAAGCATACCACCATGCAAAGTATCTTTTTAAATAAGTAAATAGTTAACCAACTGAAAATGAATATTTCATTCTATTACCATTTCGATTTAAATGTTGTTCATCAATATCAAGTTCACATTGAATATGCCCTGGTTTTCGAGATGCTACTACTCGAATCTTATATGAGACAAAAAAGAACAACAAGGAAAATACTTTCTCAAGGATTCACTCTTATCTTACTCCTTGAAAAATTCTATTAAATTTTTCAGTTTTCTGACCCAATGTTATTAAATCTTGTAAAGTTCGAAGAAGATTTCTAGTTGTACTCATCTAGAAGATGCATCGAAAACAAACTAATTCTTTCTTGCTTAAATTCGAAAAAACAATATAATTCGAGGAGACCACAGTAAAAAGTACAGCAGAACACGCTAGTCAGTTCAACAATAGAAACAAGAAATCAACCTAATGTCGACGTTCTAGGGTAGATTGAGTTAGATAAATCAAATAATTGAGAAATCGATTCGATCCATTTGACGACTGTGGAAATTCACTAAGGATTCGGCAAGCTTCATTAGCATATTGTTGGGCAAGATGATACGTTCGAGCTTTTCCATCGCTCTAAAAAATAAAAATATATAATTAGTTATATAATAGAGGCTCAAGTTTTATCAAGATAATTTACTTGATCAATTAATTCCACAGCGCGTTCGATATCACCTGACTCGGAGAAACGTCTCAATATGAGAGTTTGTAATTCTGGAAACTAAACAGATGACAAACAAATGAAGCATGAATCACTTTTTAATAATATCACTTGTTGACTAGCAAATAGTACTGGTGCCGTGGATAAGCCTAATTTTAAATCAGCAGTTGCTGGTTTTCCAAGATCATCATCGGTTGAGGTTACATCAAGTAGATCATCGATTAATTGAAAGGCCATACCAAAATTTTTTCCAAACTCATAAGCATAATCAGCTAATTGATTTAAATTAATATCACGAAGATTTCCCAATAGTGCGGCCTACTCGAGAAACAAACAAATGAAATAGTTAAATTTTACTTTTACAAACTTACAGCTTTGCATGTATTTGCAAATAGACTTGCAGTTTTACAAAATGTTTTATTGAGATAATCTTGAAATTGCTCAGCATCGCTTTCTTTTGTTGATAATTGCATGAATTCACCTGGAGATACATATATTAGTTGAAATTGAATTAACAAATATAGCGAAAATACCTCGAACAAGATCTTGAATAACACGAGCAAGAAGTGAAACTACATCACTATTACCAATACGAGCAAGTAGCACCGAAGATATACCCAGAATATAATCACCGGCTAGTACGGCCTATAGACCGGGGAGAAGGAATTAACAGAGTTCTTTAAATATCGAGCAAAAATTACTTTTTTTGGTCCCCATTGAACAGCTGCAGCCGGTTTCCCCCTTCGTCGATCACTGGAATCAACGACATCATCATGTATTAAACTAGCTGTATGAATCATTTCTCCAAGTGTGGCTATACATCGTTGATTTTCATGCAAGAAACTAAATACAATAAAACAATATATATATATTATCGCTTACATGACAGGTTTTTATAGCTTGTAGATTACGTTTTTGTACGCACGTTGCATCAGAAATTGTCTGCAATGCATTTACATAAAAAAAAATACTACCAACTAGACAATAGTTTAACGCACAACAATCTTTTTTTAAGCATTCCTTCATTGATAAATTGGAAAATTATTTACTTGTCTTGTTGTTGATTGAAACTTCTTGCCATTGTACAGATAATCATCGGTCGAATAAGTTTACCTTTGGCATCAAAATGATATTTAGCTAATTCGTTTAATTCTTGTTCATAACATCCCAAATGCTAAAAAGGAAAAAGGTAAACCATTACTACGCGCACACACGCACGCACAAATTGTGATCAGAAATAATATCAGCAAGAGTAGGCGTTGATATAACATAATAAAATTTTATCGGAATGAATACTTGGAACTAGTTGAAGTTGTCATAAATAGAAATTTTCACTCGACGCTTTAAGATTTGATATTATTGATTAATCGTATTTGTTTATCAGTTGAAATATTTGTATTGTTCAATTTATTTCAAATAAATATTCAAACTATATTTTGTAAAATCTTTCACATTTTAAACAATACTTTATGTATGAATTTCTGTTCAATATGTTATGCAATATGTATTTTCATTGTTTTTTCGTAGAAGTTTTAAATGACAAATAGAACTCGATGAAAACGTTCTCTAATCAATCGCACGTTGTTTACGTGTTGTTGATTGATATGATAGAAAGCAATGAGTATGTTTCATTTTAGCAAGACTTAGTATTGATTCGTAGACTTTCATCATGAACTAAAGATGGCGAAATCATTTATTCGACAAATGAAAATCTACAATAGAAGCACATCGTAAAATATCGTTAGACTTACTTGCAAAATATCACGGTGAATTAATTGCAGATCTTCTTTGATTATATTTATTGTCGGTTGTAATTCTTCAGTGGCTGTTTTATGACTTGCTGCACCAACAGATAAATAACGATAAGACCGAGATATCACTGAGCATGTTAGAAACTGTTTTGAAAGCCTACGAATTGTGAACATTAATGCTAGATATCTAAAACATTAGGTCGTATGTGGTTTATGTCCACAATGTGCATTTCATATTTTCGGTTTGGATAAATCGTTTTCGACGAATGTATCTATCAAGCATTCGTTCTTCGCCAAGCATCGAGCGGTGAGATGATAATAAAAAGAAACCAATAAGATTTTAATAGGAAACCACACTCAAGGGTTTTTCGAAAGAGGACGCTCTTCTTCAATGTAGAAAAAAAAATAACGAAGTGATCTTCGATTTTCCGCAATCTAACAAGAAAACATGTTATAAGATAAAATTCTGTCACAATGAAGAGATTTTAAACGAAAACAAATCGATAGTAAAATCCTGATCAAATTTTCCAATAATTTTTTTTTCTATATTCACGTTTTTAGTAGCTTTACGCATGATTGATTGAGATTGACGTCTTCTCTTTTTCTTCCTTTTCTGCGCTCTTTTATCTGTACTCAAGCCTGACTTTGATACATTAAGAAAAAATCAATCATTCTTTTTTTCGATTACCTCCATCGAAGGACACACAAGTAAGTAATTAAACGATCGTTCGACAACAACAAACAATCGTAACTTCGTATTATTTCAATCTGTAACATGGCAGCTGTAAGTTCTAAAGTCAGATTTATCGCCACGCTTTCTACCAATTGCTTTTAGACTTCATACATTTGGTTACCGCCCGATAAGCAGGGTGAATTCGATGTCGAAATCGGAGCACGAGTGCTTGATCTTAGTCAAACTCAACTTAAAGTTGTTGATGATAATGGAAAGGTCTGAAAACCAAGATTTACTTCATCCCATTCATTATTTATTGTTTTAGGAACGAACCATTGTTAATGATCCAGCCAATTTTAAGAAAATGCATGCAACATCATTTAATGAGATCCAAGATATGATTCATTTGGGTGATTTAACTGAAGGGGCAATATGTCGTAATATACTTTTACGTTACAATAAAGACAAAATCTATGTAAGTTAATTTCGGAAGCGTTTCAATTAGCTTATCGATTTTGTTTTCTTTTCAAGACTTATATCGGATCAATTTTAATAGCCGTAAATCCATATGCACAACTTGATTTATATAATCAAGAGTATTTACGTAAATATCGTAATAGAAAATTTGGCGAATTAGAACCACATACATTTGCTATTGGTGATAATGCTTATCAAAATATGTTACGTGAACGTAGTGGTCCCGATGCGAAATATAACCAATGTGTTATTATCAGGTAAAACTAGTTTTTAGATAAATTTCAATATACACATGCATTTAAATATATTTAGTGGCGAATCAGGTGCTGGTAAAACTGAATCTACCAAACATATTTTACAATGCTTAGCTGCTATAAGTGGAGCGAAGAAAAATTCCAGCATTGAACAACAAATACTCGAAGCTAATCCAATTATGGAAGGTAAGAATAAACAAGAGTGCTATTCTAAACCGAAAGTATTTTCCTATTTATATAGCTTTTGGTAATGCCAAAACAGTTCGAAACGATAATAGTAGTCGATTTGGAAAATATATAACAGTAAATTTTGATAGTAACGGTGCTATTGCTAATGCATTTGTTGATCAATATTTACTTGAAAAAATTCGCCTTGTTTCACAAGTAAGATTTATTTTAATTCAGAATTCCGTATAGCTATTCAAATTTAATAGGCAAAAGAAGAACGAAACTATCATATATTTTATTGTGTGTTAGCCGGTTTAGGTAATGAAGAACGAAATAAATTACGATTAACAAAAGCAGCGGATTATATGTATTTGAATAAAGTATAGATGATATTTTTTATGGTTTTTATTTATGCGATATGAAAAAATTTAGAGTACACCAAAATGTGATACACGTAATGATGCTGAAGAATGGAAAGCAATTCGACATGCATGCAAAGTTTTAATGTTTACCGATGACGAACTCTTTGAAATTTTACGCGTATTAGCTATTGTTTTGCATCTTGGAAATATTCAATATACTGGTAAATATTCACTGAATACAGTCAGCATTCTATTAGAGACGTCCATACAGTCGGTGTTCGTTCGCAAGTCTACAAAAATAAATAAATAAATAGAGTTTCTGAAGTGCAAAAAAAGAAATTCTTAGATCTACTCGATCTGATCTCTTTAATTTTATAGCACAATCATCAAAAGGCATAGATAGTGTAACAATAAAAGATTCAAAATTAGCCGAGTTTATTGCATCGCTTCTTGAAGTAAGAAGAAATGAAATATCGTCAAAATAAAGCCAACGGAAAACTTGTTTTTCTTTCGTTAGGTTGATGCTAAACAATTGAATAATGCATTAGTGACACGAACTCTTGAAGTTCAGGATAGTAAAGTAGCAAGAACGTTGAGTGCATCATCTGCCGCCGATGTCAGGTAAGATTTCTAGAAAGAATTATTTTAGTTTCCGTACAAATTTGATTTCAAGAGATGCATTCGTCAAAGGAATATATGGACAAATGTTTGAATGGTTAATTGGGCGAATCAATATGACGATGCATAATAAAAATAATGCGAATCGTCAACTCCAATCAGATGAGCAATTACGATCTATTGGTGTTCTTGATATATTTGGTTTTGAAAAATTTGAGCAAAATAGGTTCGTTGATAACTTGCTTTTGGTTCCTAAACGAACATTTATTTATTTAGTTTCGAACAATTATGTATTAACTATACAAATGAAGAATTACAACAATTTTTCGTGCATCATGTATTTAAACTTGAACAAGTAAAATATGAATGTTGTTTCTTTGTTTTTGCTAAATCCGATGAATCTTTTTTTTTCAAGGCAGAGTATGAAAAGGAAGGGGTTAATTGGAAAAAAATTGACTTTCGTGATAATCAAGATATAATTGACTTGTTAGCACGCAACCGTATGAGTATTATAGCAATGATTGATGAAGAAATGATTGTACCTCAAGGCACCGATACAACATTATGTGCTAAACTTCAACAACAACATGGGAAAAATAAACATTTTATTAGTCAATCAGCGCGTCAAACACAAAAGTCATTGGTATTCGGTGTTCAACATTTCGCTGGGCCAGTTTCATATGATTGTCGTAGTAAGTTATAAATTAATTCGATTCTTCATTTTTCTTAAAAGAATTAATATTTTATAGATTTTCTTGAAAAAAATCGTGATACCTTCAGTAACGATTTGAAACAAGTTTTGTCCAGAAGTACGAATCGTTTGATTAAAACAATATTTCCATTGGAAGCATTACATCTTGTAAGTTATAATATTACTGTACTAATTTCGATAAACTAGTATGTGCCTGATATAGCAGTTGAATGCCATAGATTCGACCTAAAGATTTTCAGGAACTTGTTAGACTCTCTATCATGAATCGTCGTAAAATACGTTATTTTTCGCGAATATCCACTGTGCAGAGCAAGTAGTTGACTAAGACTCGATACTGTTATTCTTTATTAGTACAATCTCTCTTGATATAAATTGACATTGAATCAAACAGTTGGAACATTGACAAAATTTCTCAACAAATATTCATTAGTTCTAAACGAATCAGGTGCATATCACCTGATAATGCCATCGTATATTTCATTTTTTACTTTGCGACTTGTTCCAAGTCAGTAGTTATAATCTAAAAAAAATTGAAAAATTTCTAAAAGAATTTCCGCGAAGTCATGAGCATAATAGTATATACCAGATTTTCACGAAATGTTGAGTCTTAAGCAATCCTACTTAGCAGTGGTGTTGCCAGGGGGGGGGGGGGGGGGGGGGAGTTGGGCAATTGCCCCCCCCCCCCCCCCCCCCCCCCCCCCCCCCCCCCCCCCCCCCCCCCCCCCCCCCCCCCCCCCCCCCCATTGAGCAATTGCCCAATACCGAAAAATTTTGGTACTCATATATGTTCGAAGATACATCGTGCTACTGTAAAACAATGTCTCTTATTGTGATCTAGTTAATAACGATGAGTTTTCCTTCAGTATGCATCGGTTGGTTTCGCAATGGCAATGCGTATCGGAAAAAATTGTAGCGCAATTGCTTTTCAATTGCCCATTGTTGCCCACTACGTAAAATAATTTAGCTGGGTAACGGCCAATGACTCGAAAATTTCTGGCTACGCCACTGATATTTAGTCTATTTCCGGTCTGAGCGGAAACTTATGTAATCCATATCAATATTTTATCTCGAATGTCTTCATAGTGAGGGAAATATTTTGGAATTTTGAAATCTACTAACATAGTTCACTAATTCGTGCGATGAATATTTTTAGGATGATAAAAAACGTAAACCATCATTAGCTACACAATTTCGTAAATCACTTGAAGTTCTTCTCAATACTCTTCGTCAGTGTGAACCGTCCTTCATTCGTTGTATTAAACCAAACGAATTTAAAGCTGTTCATGTATGTGATTGTTTTTTGTTCATATTGTAAAAACAAACAACGATCATTTTCATAGAATTTCGATCGAGAACGCGTTGTACAACAACTTCGTTATTCCGGCATGATGGAAACAATAAAGATTCGTCGTATTGGTTATCCTATACGACATGACTTCAATGAGTTTGTTCATCGTTACGCTGCTATTGCACCAGCTCTTGAACGTATGCATAAACAAGCTGAAGCTCGTGGTGACCGTGGTGATCAACGAACAATAGCAATAAAAATCTGCGAAATAGCATTACCTGGACAAGATTATCAAATAGGAAAAAATAAAGTCTTTCTTAAAGATGAACATGATGCTATGTTAGAACAAGCAAGACAAAAGGTTCTTGCTGATCGTATATTAGCATTACAAAAAGCCGTACGTCGTTATTATGCTCAACGGCAATTTCAGCGAGCGAAAAAATTAGCTTTATGGTTACAACAATCATGGTTATGTTACGCTGAAAGACGTGCTTATTGCGAGGTAGATATTTTAAATGGACTATATTTATATGCTTAAGATAGGATGTTTTCTTTTTCGTAATAGATGCGCAATGGTTTTCGACGTTTACAAGCAGTATATGATATGCAACATATTGGTGAAAAACAAAAACTTTACTATGAAACTTTACCACGTATTCAGGTTTGATAACTTAATTGGGCCAACTCAAACAAAAAAATCTATTTTGATAATTATTTTCAGACCCTAGGCAAAGCATATTTGGCACGAAAAAATGCGAAAATGCGTCCGAAAGCTTTTGGAATTCTTCAAGAAAAGATTTTACAATATTTAGGATGGCGTGATTTTCGCCGTGAGCAAGTTAAGGTTAGTCATGAAAAACAAAAGAAAGTCTACTCGTTGACTAAGATTCTCTTTGATCTAGGCATTGAAATTAGAAGAATATGAAAAATTTCGCAGTGAAGAAGAACAATTATTAACACCAGAATTAGGACCAGAAAAAGCTCATGAAGCAGCTCAAGCAGCGTATGATGCACGTTTAGTTAATTTAGAAGAAGATATACGCGAACAATTGCGTGCAGATATTATACGAGCTCGTGAAAAACAATCAGGCATTAAAAGACGCTATCGCGATGATAATGCAAACGGTGAAGATGGTCTACCAGGGGTTTGTCAATAGAATGAATTTATTCCATAAATGAATATTTCTTACTACTTAGTCTCAACGTCAATTAAAACAAGAATCAGATCCATTTAAAACTGATGTCTCACGAAATTCATTTGAGAAATTCGCTGCGAAATATTTTCAGCATGGCTACGATAGTAAACATACATCAACTGAAATCATTCGACCGTTACTTGATCTTAAATCTGGTGTCGATCAAAAGGTAATCCTCGTTTTCTTTTAGACAAGATTAGCCAATTGACTGATTGATTCATATGCAATAGGCAGCAATAGCAACATTCCAAATGATAATGAGATTTATGGGCGATATGGAAGATATTACTCCACCACCTACAAAAGGTACAAAAAATGATAAAGAAACTCAACGTTTAGAATCTCAATATGATATTATTGTGTCTGAACTTTATCCAATCATTGCGCAACAACATCAAATGAAACTTGAAGAAGAAGAAGATCCGTATGAGAAGGTAAATTTTACATCTTTTGTTTCATTCTATCTCTTGTAGATGTTTGTTTTAGAAAAAAACGAAAAATATTCGTACAAAAGCTCTGGATCGTATTCGAGCATTCAGCAAAAAATCAGTTTATCTTGAAGATCGGTTAAAAAATGAAAATCCATTTATTGAAGATCGTTATTTAACATCATTAGAGAAAATTCAAATGATTACAATACTAGGTATTATTCGTCGTCGATTAAGGTACTATTGATTGAATGGTTTGTTTTTTTAATCAATCGACTTATGCATTTTGTATTAGAGATGAAATATTATGTCAGATTTGTAAACAACTAAATGATCATCCAGCCATGCGTGAGAAGAAAAGTCGAAATCCGGAAAAATCTGAACAACGTGAAAAATCCTATATGCGTGGATGGTTTCTTCTTTGTTTATGTTTGTATTCATTTCCACCTGGTTCAAATGTTCGTTTCATTTCTATGCGAAAAACTTCTTTGCTCTATTTCTCTGTCTATTTAGTTAGTTCGATTTCTTCGAAATTTTGCTCAAAACGGTCCACCAAGTCTTGCTAATTTCGCTGAATTTGTATTAAAACGAACATATGTGAATGGAAACCGAAATGAGCCATTGAGCATGGAAGAAATAAATGCTATTCAAAAATCATCACCATTGCAAATCAATGTTAAACTTATTCATAGTCTAGATACGCTGCCCATTTGTTGCGATGCAGCGACAATAGCCGAAGAAGCCTGTATAGAATTGGCAAAAAAATTAAATATTACGGAAACATTTGGTTGGTCTCTATTTGCAGAATCAAAATCCGAAGTAAGATTTGCTGGTTCGTTTCAGAGAAAAATTATTTCTTTTGTTTTTCATTTACACAGGGTTATTCTATTGGTTTCAATAAAGATCATCTATTCGATATATTATCTCGTCTCGAAATGGGACAAGTACAAAAAGGAGAAGATCCTCGTAAGGTTGATATTACTTTTATTTTTTGTAAACAATTATTTGCTCCATGGGAAAATCTTGATGATGATCCTATTTCGATTGATCTTATCTATGAACAGATTCTTAATGGTATGTAGAATAAGATTATATTTCAAATGATTTTCTTTTTGCCTTTGGGGGGGGGGGGGGGGGGGG